ACCGACAGCTTTGGCTAATTACATCCTGTATAACAACTTTTTTATTTGCTTGCTTATCCTGCCTGTCACACTAGAACTGATGTGGTCCCATAAATTCTTTATGGGCATCGTGTGGTTTTGAAGGTGATTTCTAATCACGCATTTCCTTTCACTTTTTTCAACAGAACAAGAGGTGCTTCTCTCTCATGGGAGAGCTGCCTGTGGAAGATTCAAAGGAAGGAAGCTCTTGTAGAGTTTATTTTGCCATGGTGGAGTGGGTCTTGAGGCAGAGGAAGATTCTTTTAAATGCATAAAGTAGCAGGGAGTTCATGCATTTAAAACTAAAGGCCTACTTTAACACTGTATGTAATGAACTCTGCAAGGTGTTTAGTCCACTTAATTCCTATTGAAGTAACAGTAAATCCCATGAAACATGAAAGCTGGGCACGGTAGCACAATCTCAACTTTGCGACAGCAGAGCTAACAAACAAAATAATTGACTGGAGCCCACAGAGACTGTTTTTGGAATAACTGTTAGCAGTTACACTTTTCAAAATGGCCTCAATCCAGCCTTCTCAATTTTTCTCGCAAGACTTCTGTCTGCAGTTCATTATACTTGAAAACTTGCTGGTGCATGCTGAGAAAGGAAAACTTTTTCTGAAAGCGCAGCCTGTCATTTTTAGTATTGTCACAAGGAGCTGCTGTAAGAGGGTTGAAGGATTAGCGTTCATCTTGAGCTTAGAGTTTCTCTAAGAAACCTTCTCTAAGGCAAACCTTATCTTTGCTGAGATCATCCCTTCTTTAGGAGCTGAATAATCGCCTTGTGCTTCTGCCAAATTGGTAGTACAGTGATGTGTAATGCACTTGTAGCCAGAGTAACTCAGTGTGATACAAGCCATGGCTTCAAATGGCAAATACGCTGATCGTGACTTAAGCTCAAAGGTCTACAGTGAGTCCATCCATTGCTAAGGGCAGGATAGCAGGAATAAATAAATGCCTTGCCTGCTTTGATGGCACAATAGAGATTGTGACACCTCTGGAGCACGCTGGCATGGTGACAAGTGCGCATCATCCTTCAGGGCTTTGGCTTCGCAGTGCGGAAAGGGCAGCTTGTACTGACCTGGCACTGTGCTAAAATGCTGTCCTTAGCGCGATTGGTGTCATGCCCATAGTGTGGTGTTCAGCAGCAGATTGGACCTTGTCAGGATGATGCTTCTCACTCTTACAAAATCTTCCCACCCCTAGTACATGAGTGTGTCTTGTTGGGGCTCCTATTGGGTTTTGTTTGGAAGTAATGATGTGGCTGTTTATTATACCTTCTCATGGCTTATAGTTGGATTTCTGCATGTGTACACAGCTGCTTGCTGTCTAAAGACATGTTCCTGAAAATATTTGTGCACAGATTTTTATGCTTAGGGCTGGGGAGCAATATACTACTTGGGAGTTGTTTCTTTTGCTTTTGAAAAAAACCCTCATATCCACTTCCTCCCCCTTCCTTCTGTTATGCTATGTACATCTTCTGCAACCATGCTGTGTCTGCCAGTTATATTTGACCAGCACAGTTGTACACCTTGACTTCTCCTTGTAGGCTTAGCATAGATAGATGTAGCAGAGAAACCAAGAAACCACTCCTCTTTCTATGGTGCCACTATTCCCCATAAGATTTCTCCCTTTTGTGATCTGCTGGCCATAGTACGCATGTTCAAAGCTGAAAAGTTCACAGGTCTTCAACCCATGCTTGCCCAATCCTGATACCACATCATAGTAAGGTTTGGGTAAAACTCAGCTGTGGGAAGTGAAATAGCATGTGTTCCTGGCTGGCAAATGGTAAAAGGAATGCACCTCACTGAGGAACCTGAATAATAATTTTGCTATATTATTTGAGGGCCATAAACTGAGTTTGGGAAGACTTCTGTTGAAATTATTTTTAAATTAACTTTTAAAGCTTCAGGTTACATCTTTAGGTCAGCGAAGAAGGAAAGAAAAGCTCTTCTTCCCTGGAGCTATACTGCTATAACTGCAGAAGTGATGCTGAGAAGAGCTGCTATTCTGAAGTGTCACTCCAAGCAAATTTCTGTCCAGTTTTAGAATTCAATAAAATATTTGCTGGGGTTTGGGTTAAATGAAACAAAGTGAGAAAGGGCAGATTACATTTTCCACTTGTGACTCTGAGCATAATTTGAAAGGCCAGTATGTATATACACACAACTACCTAATACCACATTTGTGGAAATAAATCCTAGGAGAAGAGTATTGCCTTCAGTGTACGCTGTTGTAAATACACTAGGCAGCTATGGTGTTCAGTGAAGAATTTCAAATGATTCAGCCAGAACTAAGTAATGGTATGCTACCAAACAGATCACAGATCTCTTCTGCTTACTTTAAAACATGGAACTTATTAATGCAAAATATGCTCCAACACCTCACATGTTTGTAGAACATGGCACAAATACATACTTTCTTTCATTATGGCATCTTCTATCCCAAAGTATTATGTAACTGTAGATGAAAGTCAAGCCTTGCAACACTTCAGTGGCAGATATTGCTACTTGTGTTTTTCAGGTAGGGAAGTAGAGGTGCAGGTGAGCTTCCACAGGGAGGCCTGGGGCAGAGGTGAGAATAGTATTGCAATCACTTGTTCCTAGTAATGTATTTAAAGATAGAAATCCCTTTTCTCAAAGGAGAATGCTACAGTTCTGTTGAGGATGCTTATAAAGGCTCTGCTGCCCAGGGATTACAGGCTTGGGAGGGCTCAGGTTCTTAGGAGGGCTAATTCCCTGTGAGCATTTCAAACTCCCTGTGCTGCACTTTACACTCAGTTGTGAAACTGGAGAGAAGCATGGGCCTCCTCTGCTCCAGGTGTTGCTTGGCTGAAGCAGATGAATAAACCACAACTTATCACTTATTAATCAGAAAGATTTAAAGTATTTAATGCTCCTGGAAAACAATCTCTCCAATGGGAATTCTTTATAATGCATGGTACTCTGTGGGGTATCTTTATGCTTCTGTTGAGTCAGATTCAAGAAACGTAAGAAATTCAGGAGCTTCAGCTACAGGTACTACACGGTCAGTTTATTGAGGGGTTTTGCTGATGGCATACATGCCTCAAATATAGATTTTTATTGTTTGTTCAAACCAACAGAACCTCATGGTGGGGTTACTGTGTTAATTTGGGGTACAGTAGTTGATAAAATGCCCAGCTGGCAGTGTTCATCATGAACCTTGTTATTTCTCTTCTCCCTTCTGTATTTCTGTTCCATCTTCAGAAGGGAAAACAGAATATCTGCTTTCTGTTGATAAATAATTTTGGTCACTTTATGCAGCTGGGAAGATGGAGAAAAGCTGCAAGTGGTGATGTAAGCACCACGAGTACGCATCACTTTGTGGCAAACTGGGTACAAAGTTGGGGTTAAAAAAAGTTAGCATCCTGCATATTTTCTATGACTGCTTGTGACATCAAACACTTAGCAGTAATAAGGACATAAATACTACACAGACCATTGTTTTAAGCCTATTAAAGCCTTCTGTTTATTGTGTGTCTGTTAGTGGTGTTACCATGTGTTCAGTGAAGGGATCATCTCAGTGCCTCCGTCAAAAATGCAATTTAGTCAGCAGAAAGATGACTATATGAACACTGTACTGGATACATTACATGCCTGGACCATAAAATTCTGTGGAAATCAGTGGGCTGTTTGGAAATCCACGTTTGCACCTTTGCCAACTGGATGTCAAATTGTGCCCTAGAGATCCTGTAATGGAAACCCAGACTCCCACGTCAGGTAGGCTTTTCAAAGATGTCCAGGTCCTGGAGTTTGCAGTAGGGAACAGATAAGGAAATGCAGCCAGTCTGTTTATAGGACGAAGGATGTTTTTTTTCTTGTTCAAAATAGTTGCATCCTATATCTTGATTTGAAACCTATTGTAGCATTTTAAGAACTTCATTCTGTAAGATCAGCCCAACTGAAAGACACTCCATAAGAACCTACAGGTACCCATGTTGTGCCTTCAGTTCCAATTAAAATTGTATCTAATGGTGAGACAAAAGCTTCTTCCTTTAGCAATGACTGACTTCTTTTTTTTCAGTGTGTCCTCAAGTGCTTAGCAGCCTGAGTCATTTCAGACTAGACAGCTACATTCCATTAGGGATACTGTTTTACAGTCTCATTCTAGTAATAACTCTTCTGGCATCCGTCAGATTTGTAGGCCCAAAAGAAGATCTTACAAATCCTTTAAGGTGCTCTTAAAACCTTAGACAGGATCCTGTAAATTACAGATAAAGCTTGAAACTAATTTTGGATGGTATGGGGAAGGGCTTTTTTGTGAATTACTAACAAGACTGTGTAACCCTTCTCTATCATGTCTAAACTTGGATTTAATACATTTTTGGTTGGTACAAGCCATATAAAACCAAGCAGTGGTATTTGATGTAGTGTTTTATCTCAGTTGCCACGAAGTCTGCCCTCTAATAAACCACTGACAATATAACGAAACATATTTGTTATGCCTGCTAGATTTATCAAAGCTGCTTTTGGTAGAGACTATTCAGTACCAGATTTTCATTATTTTTCAGGCATGATGCAAAAGGTATTTTGGATGAATGTTGATATCCTCTTGGCAGAGGGATGACAGACTGAAGTAGCAGCTAGGTTTATAAAGATGGAGAGGAAGCTGGCAAATGTACATAAATAATGTAGATGATTAAATGAATTTGGTGTTTAGGAGCTTCTAGACAGCTTAGTTGCATCTTCAGATACCTCAATACCTTCATAATTCTCAACCTTTTTTTAACCCCTGATTCATGTGACTGGCTGGTAGTATGTATTTGCTGATGCAAACTATGCCTGACTTGTTTACTTTGGGGAAATACAAGCATAAATATAAAATTAAAATAAGACAAAATGTTTTAATAACAAGCTGTCATGGAAATACATGGTTAATGGGGGGAAAAGTATAGTGTCTGTTTTCCAGCAGTCTTCTGGTAATAACTGTAGAATTAGAGTGATGTTCGTTTCTTTCAAAAGGGGAGAGTTACGTCTGCTCATCTGACAACTTCTTCAAGAAGGTGGAATATACCAAGAATGTCAATCCCAACTGGTCTGTCAATGTGAAGACATCTGCTAACCAGAAAGCACCTCAGTCTCTGGCCAGCAGCAACAGCGCCCAGGCAAAGGAGAACAAAGATTTTGTGCGTCCCAAGCTGGTAACCATCATCCGCAGTGGGGTGAAGCCCCGGAAGGCGGTCCGTGTGCTCTTGAACAAGAAGACTGCCCATTCATTTGAGCAAGTTCTCACTGATATCACTGAAGCTATAAAACTGGAGACGGGAGTGGTCAAAAAGCTGTATACCTTGGATGGGAAACAGGTAGGAGACTTTACAGATGTTACGTATTTTCTTTCTCTTATCTTGAGGCTTTGCTGACTCAGAACAATTTTTGAAACCTAAAATTAACGTGAGATGATCACTACCATCTGTTCTTTTAGAAGTCAGACTTCTCATGCCAGTGGTTAAGTTACTAAATTTTCACTGATATTAATATCAAGTAAAGAATGTAGCCAACCGTCTGAGTGAAACAGATGCTCCGTCCTGCACGCCAGCGTGCAGTGCATGTCTTCTGAACTAGCTAAATAAATTACATGGGGAGTTCGGCTCACAGCCACCAGTGGATTTGGCTCTGAAGTAATTTCAGGAACTCTCAAGCTTTGGATTCACTAAGTGAAAATGTGTTCCTTGACGTTCTTTGCCCTCAGATAAAGGCTTGCTAAGATAAAGTAATTGATCCAAGCATACTCGTCTGGCTAGCTTAGTAATTAGCAGGAAAAGCATGGAACTGCATTGCATTTTCTTGACTAAATGCATGAAGAGATAACATGCAGAAAGGGAGTGGGGTCAAAAATATTTAGTGGGTCATCGTAATGTGCTTCATGTCTACATTTTCCTGGAACTGAAGGAAACATCTGTCTCTTGTTAGCAGCTATACAACAATAAGCTATTTCATATTGCTGTATCTATGAAAACCCTTAAAGGAATGTGGAGGATAACTTTGGGGACTGGGAAGAGCTAGATTTTTCAAGGACAATTCTGAGCTTGATTTAACAGTTCTGCATCTTCTGTAACTGATGGATGATCTTATTTTTGTAACTGGTTTTCTTGCTCCGGGTTCTGGAGTGAGGCAACACAGCTCTTGTGAGGGGGTTGGCTATTCTAAGGATTGATGCTACTGCATTAAATTAACTGTCTTTCCTATCTCTGGAGAAAATTATTAAAATACTGGCTTTTGAAATATTATGCTAACTTTAGACAATGCATCCAACTAATGTGCAGACTTTACATATGAAAATGTTTATCCTTCCAACCCCAAATATAGGCTCATGAAGTGTCCTGCACAGTCCAGGTGCAGTGGCTGGGAGCTGAAAGTAGCATGTCCCTCTAACCTGTCTGATATTCTTGCTTTGCCCCAATCTTTGTACCCTGCACATTAGTTAGTGGCTGCTTTTAGCTTCAAATATACAAAAATCTCATCTGTCTGTCAAAGCTACTTGTCTCAACCCAGCATTTTTTCTTCATAAGATGTATAGTTTATACACGAGTGGGTGACTTTCCAGCTAGACTGTCCATAGATACTATAGCATGCTGTAAATAAGCAGTGATACAGGGAGTGATGTACTGGAAACCTTGGAAGTGGCTGGGGGAAGAGGAAGGAGAGAGTCAAATGATCTATCCTCACTGAGGAAATCGTACATGGGCACAGGACCATGTTTTGAATCATGGCGGCTTTACAAAGGGTTCGATAGATGGATCTGTCCTGAAAGCAGTTGCCTACTCATGCTGACACAGAGTGCTGTTGCTCTCATAGCTGTGAATGAGGCTCTTAATCTGAACCTGTAAATTGCCTCAGTTCTTTAAGAACAGCCAGCATTTTGGAGATGAGCTGTTGCTTTGGATGGTGTGCAGAAATAGGGATGCCCCATGGGCTTCCGTCAAACTATTCTCCACCTTTTAGCTAGTTACAGTAGTTAAGTGGTCTTTCCCCCTCCACCACTGACTGGAGAGCAAGATGGAATCAGCCCATAAACTGAAATGAGTTTGTGGCCTGGTGACTGGACCGGCCTGTGAAATGGTGTTAATTCCGAAGTGGGGATGTGGGAAATGCTGCTTGCTCTCAAGTTACAGATTGCCTAGAGTAGTGCTGCTGTGGGGTAGGCTGTGGTCCGTTGTTGGAGTGGCTGCCTTGCGTGGGGCTACAGCTAAGCAAGGGGCACAAAGATCTATGTAATTCAGTAATTCCTACTGCAAACTGTTGTCCATAGCAGACATAGCACCATACATTCCTCCTCTTGAATCAAAAAATAAAAGGCAACCTTGTTTTCCTCATGTCAGGCTCTGATAGCTGTACAGTGACTGGTGCCTTAATTCAGCACTATTTTGATTGAGGCAACCTGACAACTTCACCATCAGTTTTTGTTGCAGAAACGTGATTTCTGTAAAGTCCGAGTAAAGGTATCACATTTAACTTGTTCTGCTGGCTTTATAATTCACCATTTTATGAAATGTGGTATTTCATTGTGTTACACACATCACTGGGAGTTTCAGTGTATGCAAATGTACACACGCAGTATTGCAGTTGTTGAAAAGAGTGAGATTTTATGATTTGACAATAATAGAATGTTTGATATTTGTTTGTGGCATCAATTACTGTTGAAGCTTCCTGAAAAGCAAACTTGATTCACCACGGCTTTGTTTTTATTGGAAGGTTTCCTTCAATGTTTGTTTTGTTTAATTTTATTTGAAATTTTCCACCTATGTGGGTTCTTAGTGTGGAAGCTAGGGCTAGAAGCTTCTGCTGTTGGTGCAGTGTTTGCTGTTAGGGTTTCCATGACATACTGCTCCATAAAATCTGACCTTCTGATGTGATACTAGAGGTTTTTGCAGGTCTCTTTCTGACATTAGAAAGAGAAACTTGAATGCCTAATTCTGACAAACAGTACATTATTTTCAGGAGAAAATATTCATGCGAAAACACAAGCTACTCAAAGCTGAAATACTGACAAGAGTCCTGACAGTCTGTCTCTTTGAGTGGCATCAGAGGCACATTACTTCCTCTGTTGTGAAATGATAAAATTTACAAAGGGAACGTACAAAGGAAAATCATCCTTCCTCAGTCCATGAGCTGTAACTTAATGAGGGGAGATGATTATTTTATTTATAGGCATTTCCATGGTGCTCATCAGTAGAGTAATCAAGATGCTTTAGAACTACAGACAGTAGTGGCAATGATAGAGTGATGTGTAAGTAATTACATTTCTATGCACTGCAGACCTGCTGCTTGTGGAGGAAGAAAGCAGTTAATTGAGAGCTGGATGGGGTGTGTTTGAATAAAGGTAACGCTCAGAACAACAGTGACGTTAGGGTTTTTTAAGGAAATTTTGTTTATTTTTATGTCTCAGGTTGTCTGTAGAAACATGGCCCTTTTGAAACTCCTAAATTATCATCTCGTGTTTAAGTAGTTTATTTAACTTGGTCTTGCACATATTTCTAATGTCTTGTGCCTTGTCTGTCTATACTCAAACTCCTTCCCTTCTTAGAGCATATCATCACCTCTTGATGGACACTCTAGAACTCAAAAGGGCTTTCAAATTGTTGACCAAAAATCAGTCATGACAGAGAAACACAATAGAGATTTAATTTTCGACCTTTCATGGCCATATAGGAAATGGTATAGGTTAAAGAATTCAGTGCATTAAACAAATACTACAATGGATCAAATTCAGCACTTGGTTTCATGACTACAACTGCTGCTGTGTTGAGATGTGTAACATATATAATTCAAATATACATATGCAGGACCTAATTTGGTCTGATCTGTGGATCACGTTAAAAACCAGTTGTTTTGGTAGATTCTTTCTCTTTTTTTAAACTCTTAGTTATATCCAGTGCCCCAAATAAGTCTGGATTCCTGGGAACACTGGCTACTTTATAAACACATGATGACAGTTTCTGCCTCATGTCATTAATAAACCAAATTAGAAAACAGAATTTGAGACTATGGATGAAGTTGCATTCAGATATTTTGAATGCAATAGTCTGAACTAGACTTTGCAAATGTTGTATAGATTTACTGTCCTGTTTGTGCTTCAGCTTCTTTCTCACCATAGTGTACAGTAAGTAGGTGTTTTTCTGGAAAAGAGGAGGCTATTTCATCACTGACAGCCCAGTGCCCATCTTCTGCTTTCTGTGCATTGCTTTGCAAGTGGTGTGTGTCTGCATTCATTTGCTTTTAAGAAGTGACCTGTAAAATCTAATGTCTTCTGTACTTACTGAACTTCTCTTTTTCCTGTGCTGTCTTGTATTCCAAAGTCTGTGAGTTGTTCAGCAAGTATGTGAAGAGATGCAGTAACAAAAATCAGTCCATTTTTTTTTTGTGTGATTGGCTGAGTGGATGATACTCTGGAGTGATGAGAAATTCATCAGGCGTGTTCAGTTGTACTTTAGCAGTAAGATATTTTCTGTGGTATGGAATGCCTTCTGCTTTTTCTCCAGCTGACTATTGCCAGGTCTTAATTTACTAAATGCCCCATTCTGTGACCCATCAAGTAGCATCATCAAATAAGCAGAATAAGGTGCTGTTCAGAGGGGGGAGAGCTTGTATCCTTCAATTCCACATAAATGTAGATATTCTGGTCTAGGAGGGAACTGAATGTGGTTTTAGCCATAATAACATACAATGATCTATTCTGGACTTTGAAATCTTCAAGCAGAGGGAGAAGTCACACATGTGCTATTCATTCACTTTTACCTAGCCCAGACAAAGTGCTTCCTTCTGTTCCATCTGAGTGTTGGCTGTCTCATCAGATGAAATTACATACATTTTCATATGTTAGGGCATTTGTGACTCTGGTCCCAAAAGAGTTTCTAGTCTTAATAAAATGGTCCCCTCTAGCAGTCTTTGCTTTGATAAGGATTTCATGTGGCAGGTGATGAGTGAAGTTCATCTTTCTGTTTGCCAAGCTGATGCAAATGCCTAGGAGGCCAGCCCACCTCTCCTGTCCGGAGAGAAATTTGCTGTTTCATTTTGTATTACTTGCACTGAGGAAAGGCAGCAGCTGCAGAGGGAGAAGCAGGATGACTAAGCTCACAACAGATTAAAGGTTGGGACTTTGGGATCAAAGCCAACGAAGTAGTTGATAAAGCAGCTCCTAGTACTGCACTACTAGTGAAAAGCTACCTTAGATGCATCCATACAAGTTGCACTGGAGAAACCAACCAACCTTTGGAGCTGCTGCACTGATTTTAAGCTGGTATTTGGAAACAAACTAGTAAAAATTTCTTTGCTCAAGTGTCAATGCTAGCAGTGGACCAAACTC